GCAGGAAGCATCAAAAGAAGATGGAAGGAATACAAAGTCATTGTACAAAAAAGAATTAGTCAACATCCAACCATTTAAGGAGGTAGCATATGATCAATACCAATAACATTGAAGGAAGAAGTCCAAGTGGTACCGAAGGAATTTTCAAAAAACAAGACTTCAAGTATACCCATTGAGATATTTCAACAAATAGATACAGCACTGGAGACACTCACTTATTTATGCCAAGAAATTTGGAAGACAGTTACTTGGTCAGCTGACTGAACTGAGATCCATATTTCTGCCCATTCCAAAGAAAAGGGTTCCAACAAAATGTGGAAATTATTGAACAAGATAATTAATATCACACACAAGTAAAATTTTACTGAAAATAGTTCAAAAATTGTTGCAACAATACAATGAGAGGGAATTGCCAGAAATTCAAGCTGAATTTAAAAGACAGCATGGAATGAGGGATTTCACTGCTGATGTCAGATGGATACTGACTGAAAGCAAAGAATGCCAGAAAGGTGTTTGCCTGTGTTTTTTTGAGTATGCAAAGGAATTAAACTGTGTGGATTATAATAAATAATGGATAACATTGAGAAGAATGGGAATTCCAGAACATTTAATTGTGCTCATGAGGAACTTGTACATAGAGTAAGTGGCAATTGTTCAAAAAGAACAAGGGGATAGTGCCTGTTTAAAATCAGGAAAGGTATGTATCGGGGTTGAATACTTTCACCATGTTATTGTTGTTGTTGTCGTTATGTGCCATCAAGTCGGCCCTGAATCATAGCGACCCCTCCTTTGGTTTCCGAGGCAGCATCACTATAGAAGTAGATTGCCCAATCTTCCTTCCAAGGAGTGGCTGGTGGGTTTAAACCGCCAGCCTTCTGGTTAGCAGTCAGGTGCCTTAGGCACTACACTAACAGAGCTCCAATGCTTTAACCACTTTGCCACCAGAGCTTCTATTCACCATTCTAATCTAATATGTATGCTGAACAAATAATCTGAGTAGCTGGACTATATGAAGAATGTGGTGCCGGGACTGCAGGAAGATTCATTAACAACCTGTGATATGCAGATGACATAAACTGGCTTGCTGAAAGTGAAGATGAAGCTCAAAGACTACAATGCTCAGTATGGATTACACCTCAATATAAAAACAAAAATCTTCACAACTGGACCAATAAGCAACATCATGATGAATGGAGAAATAATTGCAGTTGTCAAAGATTTCATTTTACTTGGTTCCACAGTCAACACCTACAGAAGTAATAGTCAAGAAATCAAACAATACATTGCATTGGGTAAATCTACTGCAAAAGATCTCTTTGAAAAAAAAAAAAAAAAAGAAGGTGGGGACCAGGTTTGCTGGTCCAATAGAGCCTGGTGTAACCACTGAGACTATGGCCCCTAACTGCCCTTCAGGTCTGGCATTGAATCCACAACTGTGGTTTCCAGCCAAACAAAGTACAGGCATGTGAGTTAAACATTTACCTCAAGTAGACACACGCCCTGGAGAGAACAATCATGGGAGAAGGAAGGGCTGCTTATGCACAGGGAGATAGCTCAGGGTGCAGAAGAGTATGAAGGGATGGACACTGGGAAGAGGTAACTATGGGGAGGAAGTGGGAGGGGAGCTGCTGCATTGTAAATTTTGGTCAATGACATGAGAAAAGTATATGTGAACTGCTGTATGAAAAGTGAATTTACTGTGTAAATCTTCACCCAAATCCTAATAATAATAATAATAAAAAGGTCTCTTTGAAGTGTTTAAGAGCAAAGAAAAAGCAGAAAATAACAAATTTTGACAAGAATATAGGGAAATTGAAACCCTTACATGCTGATGGTGGGAATGCATAGTATAGTTATTGTGGAAAACAGTGTGGCAATTCCTCAAAAAACTAAGAACTGTCATATGACCCAACAGTTTCACTCTGTGATGGTTAAGGGTATGTGCCAACTTGGCTAGGCCGTGATTCTCAGTGATTTGGCAGATATCATGTAATCATCCTCCATTTTGTGATCTAATGTGAGCCTGCATACAATATATACATGGTTGTTTGGGCAAAGCTCGCCCTCTCTTGATCTTGCATATGAATTATCATCCTCTGTCCTCTGGTTCCTAGGATGTGGGCCAACGGCCTGCCATCTGACCTACAGATTTTGGAATTCACTAGCTCCATAGCCCCATGAGCCAGCAGCCTCCCATCTGACCTGGTGATATTGGGTTTGTCAGCCCCTGCAACCATGTGACTCAGGAGAAGCTTCTAGCTTGACTCCTGATCTATGAATCCATGAATCTGGGACTTGCCAGCCACCTTCCACAATTTTGTGAGATGTTTCCTTTAACTATATGTGTGTGTGTGTGTGTGTGTATGTATGTATGTATATTCTTCACTGGTTTGGTTTTGCTCCTCTAGAGAACCCAGCCTAATACAAATTCCTAGATATATATTCAAAAGACTTGAAAGCAGAGACTCAAAAAGAAATGTATATACCAATGTTCATTGCAGCACTATCCACAATAGACAAAAGTTGGAAACAACCTAAATGTCCATCAACAGATAAATGGAAAAACAAAATGTGGTACATACATACAATGGAATACTACTCCACCAGTTGGAGAACTTAAGTCCTGAGAAATGCTGGATACATATGGATGGAGCTGAATGAAATAGTCAGTCATAAAAGGACAAATATTGTATGGCCTCACTTATATAAAAGCACAAAAAAAGGCAAATGTATAAAGTTTAGTAGTGGTTACCAGTGGTGGGAAGGAGATGGGAGCTGGAAACAAGGCTTAATGGTGATGGAACTTTTACACTGAATAAAGGTAAAGTTGCAGAGCCAATTATTGTAATTACCATCGATAAGTTGTACACCTATAAAATGTTGAATTGGCAAAAGCTGTGTGATATACTTACAAAAATGACAACAACAACAAAAAAGAGTAGCTGCTGAGGCTGCTTGTGTACAGCCAAAAACCTCCTGGGATTTGGTTCTTTGGTTTGGAGGTTTAGGGTCATCATTTCATGGTACATCCCAGTTAATTGGCCTAAGAATGCATTTAGTGCTCCTTTTCTACCTTCTAGTTTCTTGTATAGTTCCTGGGGTCTTAAAAGCTTGCAACTGTCCATCCAGGGCACAAAAATTGGTCTTTATTTACATGAAACAACAGATAAAGGAGAATCAGGAATAGGGGAAGGATATGGAAGGAGATCTGGTAGCGTAGTGCCTAAGGCACTTGAGCTAACCAGAAGGCTGGTGGTTCAAACCCACCAGCCACTCCTCAAAAGGAAGATGGGGCAATCTACCTCCGTAGTGATACTGCCTCATAAACCCAAGGAGGGGTTGCTATGAGTCGGTCTGACTTGACAGCACATAACAACAACAACAACATGGAAGGTGTGGCTAATTATCTTGATGAACAACTGCCTCCTTTGCCAACAGACCAGATGAACTGGATGGTGCCCAGCTACCATTGCTGAATGTTTCGATTGTATATTCCATAGAAGGCTCCTGATCAAAATGGGGAAAATAAGGATCAGAATTTTAAATTCTCATGGACTTCAGACTTCCTGGAAAGATGAAGGTTAGATGATTCCCTGACACACTATTACCATGAGATAATCTCTAATCCATGAACCAAAAAATATCCTCTGAAGTCTTCTTGAAGCCAAACAATAGTTTCATTTAACCAGTAAAAATATCTGCCTTGCACATTATATTCTTTTAAAGAACTATCTATATGGGTTCAGATTGACAACAGCAACTTGAAAGATTTGATAGGAATTGTAGGGGACAGTGAATTTATGTCAATGGGGGAACAACAACTCAGAAAGGGAGGGCAAGAATGGATGCCCAACATGAGGAATGTAATCTGTGTCACTGAAGGGTACATATAGAGGCTGTTGAATTGGTGTATGTTTTGCTGTGTATATTCTCAGCAACAAGTTAAATAATTAAAAAAAAAATTCACATAAGGGTTCAGGAGGCATAGCAAATCCAGAGGGCAAATTGTCAGTTACGAATGCATTTGGCTGCAAGTAACAAGAACCTGACTATAGCGGCTTAAACAAATGCAATTTATTTTCACAAGTTTGTGTAGAAGCATCCCAGGTCTGCATGGCTATTCAATGATGCTGTCAGGACCAGTCTCTTTCCATCTTCCTGGTGCAACATCCTTAACATGTTGGCTTTTATTCTTTTGCTTGTCCTGCTGCTAGCCATCCCCAGGTCAGAATCTTTTGGTTCCAGGGAAACAAGTACCAGTGGACACCATAAACCCCAGGGTTAGACCTGGGTCCCCTTCATGAATATACTCCCCATGCAGTCCCACAGGGACTCAAGCTCAGAAGGGCCCAGCACTCGATGTAATGTACTGCTATCACTGTCTTGGACTATCTAATATTTGAATGAGGACCCTGTATTTTCATTTTGCACTGGACTAAAAAATTTTGCCACAGGTCCTGAATCTGTGTTTTTAGAAGTACAGAACCACCTGCATCAGAAATGACTGGAGACTTTTTAGAAATATGAGTCCCTGTATTCCACTGGGCTTTCTGAATCAGAATCTCTGAGGCAAGGCCTGAGACTCTGCTAACACTCATTTCTGGGTTGATTCTGCCTCACAGGAGTTTTGGAAGCCCACTGCATTAGAGAGTGAGCACTCCCATTTGTCAGAAGGAAAACAGAAAGGCCATCATAGGCTGCTGTATCCTTGGCACAAAGGCCAAGATTGAGTGAAGTAAGCCTTAGGAGGGGTCATTATAGCTGTCTGCAGAGGGAGCTGGCCCTCCTCCCCTGGTCTTCACACAGCCTGGCTGTAGTTGTCACTAGACAGAGGTTCTATCTTTCACCTTAATTCTGAAAGGGCTCTTGTCTGCCCTCAAGGAAGGGTGGGAAGTCAATGGTCAGGGAAGCAAGCGGTGGCCCACTTTGTGGCTATCCTCCTTCTCTAAGTGACAGTCTCTGGCTCACAGGCATCTTGACCAAGGCTGGCTGTTGGACAGAGGCACAGAAGCAAAGGTGTGGATGTGGTGTGCAACCTTTTCTTCCACCTAAAGAAGGGCTACATGATCATCAAGTGCAGCAGCCAGCAGGACATCAGGACAGGTTGAGCCTAGGTGAGCCCTGCAGAGAGAGCAGGCCTTCTTTGAGGACCACAACAATTTTACGTGTGTACTGCAGTGGGTTACCAAGGGAACGCCCAAACCAAGACACCTGTTCCTTGCTTGGGACATTGCCACTATTGAAAAGTTGGTATGTAGAGTTTGTGTGTGTGTGTGTTTGTACCTTGACAAGGATTATGGAACTTACTTGAAAGAATAAAAGGGGAGAAAGAGACCTTGGATAAGCAAAGCACCACTGAAGAAGAAAAACAAAGTAGGAGGTCTCACACTGCCAGATCTCAAAACCTACTATACAGCCACAGTAGTCAAAACTGCCTGGTATTGGTTCAA